AGTTTGTTTGTACTTTTGTTAACAAACATAAAAATAATAAGTGTTCATTGTGGTAAACAAAATAATAATTTGATCTAAGTAAGAGTTTTTCTTCCCAATTTGTAAACCATCCTTATGTGATAGAAAAAAATTAATATTTTTGAAATCTGCGTAACTGAATTATGTAAAATCCATCATTAAAACCAAAACAACTTTTATAAAGTTTAAGTTCGTAGGCCTGTGTTATTGTATAATTCAGTTATTGAATTAATTTATTATTTTAACTTCATTAATATTGCTTTTCTTTTTGCTGTATTATTAGTACCTTCTTTCTACTTGACCCTATAGCTAAGCAATAACATGTATTATTGTAATCTATCTCAGATTTCACATAAATCAGTTTTGTTTTTTAATAAATTTTGAAAATGGTTTATGATATAACTTAGATATTTATTTAAAAGCTACATTTGTAATTGAATGATGCACTGAGAAAAATCTAAAGTTAGTTGCCTAACTTAGAGTTCAAAGTACACTAATGAATGAAAATGTACTGCCTAAAAAATATTAATCTCATTATTTTGTGACAAGCCTAACCAGAAAAAGTACAGATGATAACTATATCAAATCAAGGAGTATGCTTGCAAGTTGAGAGAGGCACTAATATCAATATAATAAATCATAACAATATCTATAAGATTTCTCATCGTAGAATTTAGATATTAAAATCAATGCAATTCTTTTGTTAGCCTTCAATTCCAGTATTATTATTTATTATTTTATAGCCCCAAAATATATTGTTTGAAATTGGAAACAACTCCAGAGTTAAAATAGGAGACTTTGGATTAGCCACCATGGCTTCAGCTGACCATGACAGTTTTGACCATCATTTTCAGGGGGATTTTGATAACTATTCCAGTCACACAAAGGGTGTAGGGACAAGTCTGTACTCTGCACCTGAACAACAGAAAGGGTCAGGCTATAACTTTAAGGTTAGTAACGTTGTACACATTAGTATCAGAATATTTTCCTTTCATAAACCAAAATTTTTTTAAATTTATCTTTCCCTTGTTATGCATTTGAATTAAACCTGAGAAGAAAAATTATAACCCTCTCCCACACTAAATAATGGAATGAGCAACCTCTCTACTCTAATAAGGGAATTTTTCATCATATTCTGCCTAGAATATCATGTGCATAATACCCTCTCCTACCCAGTAAATGTATCACTATATCCCACTCAGAATTATAAATTTAATCCACTTCTACTCAAAATAGTGGGTTTGAATCTTTCTCTCAACCAGAAGTAATGGTAATGCAAAGTCTATCAAAGTAAATATTTTTGTCTTCACTTCATGAAAGTTGTTAAAATGTAATAAAAGATGTGGAAATGTTTTCATTTTCATAATTCTTTCCAACTGATTTTAAAAGTAAGGTAACTGTTCTGTAATTTGTAAAATGTGTTTTAAATTAGGCTAACAATTGAAAAATTAAATTGCATGTATTTTCATCATATAGGCAGATATGTTTAGTTCAGGAGCAATCTTTTTGGAGCTTTTACACCCTTTTGGTACAGAAATGGAAAGAATAAGATGTCTGAAAGCACTTCAAACTGAAATGCTTCCGAAGGTAGTAGAAGAGAAGTGGCCAGAATTGGTAAGTATAGTATGAAAAAAAATGTGACCTTCTCGGTTGTTGCTGCTATATTTTATGAGTTTATTTACAGATATTTTACATTTCGGTCTATAAATAAAGATTTCAAACATGTACATGGCTCTCCCATTTTCATTTAGATGTTTGATATAACGGTCTTTAAATAGAAATTCCAATTGGTTATGTGCTATCAGTATGAGAGCTGAAAGAAAAGCTGTATTGAACATGTCCAAAAGAAATAGACAACTGAAATGGTTTGAAATATCCTAAAAGTTTTAATGTATAGAAGATTGAGAAGGAGATCATAAGAAAAGTAAGAGCTTTAGATTTGTTGATTCTCTCTGCTTTGAAATTCCTATACAGTCATTTGAGAACTTAAAATAAAAATAAATTTGTTTACGGTATCATAGCATGAATAAAAATCTTTATCTCCTGGTGATTCAACAACATTGAGCTTGAAGGCTTATAATGCTATGAGAATCTGGGGTTTGATGTCCATTGTGGACATAGCAGATTACCCATTGTATAGCTTTGTGTTAAAAAAAAACAAAAACAAAAACATTGAGCTTGAAGGCTTATAATGCTATGAAAATCTGTGATTTGATGTCCATTGTGGACATAGCAGATTACCCATTGTATAGCTTTGTGTTAAAAACAAAAAAAAAAAACATTGAGCTTGAAGGCTTATAATGCTATGAAAATCTGGGGTTTGATGTCCATTGTGGACATAGCAGATTACCAATTGTATAGCTTTGTGTTAAAAACAAAAAAATAATTACAATACTAAAGTGTCTGGTATGGGTGACCGACTTGAAATGGAAAATTACTGTTCACCTCATTGACCTTTTAGAATCATCAGATCTCCCCTTTTTATACTTTGATCTTCCAGGCATATGTTTAGGTTTTTATTTAATCATTTCTTAGCCAACAGGAGAAATGCTTTCTGTCTCTATTATATTTTCATATTTTGTTCATAAGTTATGAAAATATGTTTAGAAGTAATGTTTTTTTTTTTTGTTGAATACACAACATTGAAAGAGGTGCAAAATTCCATTTGTTATGAATGCTTTAAGAAGTACAAAATTAAACACTTGTTACACCGTAATGCTGTATATTTGGAGCAATTGTTGTGTAGCAGCCTTGTATGAAGGTGTGTTCCAATTGAATAAATAAATTTAATTGTTATGTGCATGTCAAAAGAACATGTTTTTATATGATGTACAAAGTTCCAACATGAAATCTGACCACCATTTAAAACTGGGCAAGGAGTGTAAATCAGAAAAGGAAGAAATTGAATATTCATAGAGGTGCCCCAGGAAATTTAGAAACCCTGGGCTTCCATCAAGCCCTTATGACATGGAGGTATGTCTGGAGACTTACAAAGCTAGAAACCAGGTTTCAATACCTATGGTGGGCAGAGCACAGATATCCCATTGTATAGCTTTGTGCTTGACTTCAAAGAAACAAAGCTCCCATCAAAGTTTATGTGGTCCTTGTTGTTAGGATATAACAATTCATACTCCAGTATTTAAAATGCAATTCTACAAAAGGAAAATCTTGTTCTGCTTTTGTAAATGAACACTAGTGTCAGCTTTTAATGTCATGCATTTATTATTAACATTTTATTGGCTAAGACAGAAGTGAGCCAAAAATTATACATAAAATAAGAAATTTGTTTTGAGTGTAAGAAATATCATTTATATGATATTTTGTGTATTTTGCAAAATACATATAATGATGACTGTATATGAAAATTACTGAAATGCTATCCGGGAATTGATTTATAATTTGTATGTCAACTCAACTTTACTTTTCTAAGAGATTGTATAATGAACATTTTTCCTAAGAAAATATATGTTTGAAACTGTTTTGTATGCATGATACAGAAAAATTTAAATAATTTTACTTTCATTCTGCATGTAGAATCTGTAAGATCAAACTAATCGTAACCAGTAGTTTCTCTCTCTATATATATACACATGTACGTTTAATCCGCAGAAGGTTTCTTTTCATTATTAGAAACATTGTGATTAAAATCTAAAGTACAAATTATTTTGGACTCTATTCACAGACACAAGTTCTAAAAAGATTGATTTTAACAAACCCAAGTGAAAGACCTACAGCTGTAGAAGCACTTAATTCTATGTGTATTAACAAGAATGAGGTAAGACTAATTATGCAAACAAGAGTAAGCATTCCCAGAGTAAACAAACCTTCTTAACGTATCTTACTAAGTGCACATAAACTGTAAAGCAATAATATATATATAGTTATTAATATCACTTTTAGAAAATGCCAATGAAACCTTGTAAAGATGGTAACACTTTATCAGGCTTCTTGGAATGTGATCTTTTAATTAACCTTTTCTCTACCTTCATGTTTTTTTTTTTTACTATCCTGAATATTTATTTGTAGAAATAACTTCAATGAAAAGGAAATTTTTCAATAGGAGGAGGAGTATATAAATTAATGATAAAACAATTGTTTTTTGATTTATTTGTTTTTTAGTACACAACATTTAAAGTGATACAAAATTTCATTTGGAATGAATGTTTTAATATCTACTAAATTAAACAATGAATTAAGTTTAAGAACAAGCTTTAAAATTATCTGCATGTCTTGTAACACTGTAATGTTGTATATTTGGAACAATGATTACATTTTAATGCTTGAAAACTGTGTAACAAAACCTTTAACATTCATATACTAACTAAATAACTTTAATAAACATTTTCAAAGTTAATAATAAAACAATTATGTGTACAGTTGTAGGTTATTTATTATTCCGAGGTGTACACTATAATATGACTGTTCAGACTGTGGTAATTCTTCTTATTTAACCTTAATATCTAAATCATTCAACTCCAGTTGTTTTGTAGCCAAGTAGTATACTGTATATTTATCACAATTTTAATCAATTGATTTTGTTTCCTTGTTTTAAAATTTAATAACAATAATTGTTTGAAAATTACCTAAAACAACATGTATCTTTGATTTCAGACAATAACTAAGGTTGATGACAAACATATTGACTGAACATAGAAGAAGAAAATTGGCTTTAAGAAACATTTCATTTTTTTTTTGTTTGAACGAAATTCTTGGAGAATAAGTATAAACGTTTATTTTACTAAAGGTGTAATCTTATGAAACAAGCTCAGTTCTGGCAACCATTCTCTTTTTATAAAACATAACTCTTGTCTGTCATTTACAACTTTTTTTTTTTTTGCACTTTCAGCAATATGTGGTAGCTTTTCTTTGAATTATTAATTGTGATGGATTAATTGTTAACTGTGATTGATTTTATAAAAGTTTATGTTAGTTAGGATATGTAACTTTTTTTAAAATATTTGTTATCTGATGATCGTTTCTAATTTTAGGTCATCAAAGAGTTACAAAAGGTAAATAATGAGCAGTTACGTACCATTGAAGAAAAAGAAAAGACAATAATGAAACTGTATGATGAGCTAGAAAAGAAAAATCAAGAACTGAGCCTGCTACGTAATCAGGAGCAACTTTCAAGTTAACAAGAAGAGTAAAATACAACTTGGGAGCAGCATTGTTAATTGGAATTTAAATGTCGAGAATGTTCAGTGTTCAAGAAATGCTATTATGGTACAATGATGTGAAGTTATGCCATCGTTTTAGGAATAAATCAGATAGCAGTTGCTCTACAGATGGGTTGACATTTCAACTTGTTACAGCCTTTTAGGAGAAATTTTACATGGTGATAAGATTTCTCAAGTTTCTTGGCAATGAGAGCCAGAATCTTCTCAGCTCAAGATGTGTATATACATGTGATGACTTTTCTGATATTGATCTAGTCTGATGTTGGTTAAAAATATATTTTACATTAACACCCTTTTTATAACTGAATTGTGAGGTTCATTTTCATTGTGCCAAGTTTACTAGTGATGCTAGGAGGAAAGATTGTAACGTATTTATTCTATTATTTTTATCCCCCCTTTGAAATATAATGTAGTAGTTTTTAACAATTTCTCTCAACCAAATAGATTTGAGCTGCTTCTTGTGGAATCTGGAATTAGAACAATAGTTACATCTTAATTGAATATTTATTCATCTGTAAATATTATTTACTACTTGAATTTTTTTTTAATACATAATAATCAATTAGTATACATTAGACTAAATAAAGGATGTCTGTTTAAATGCAAGCAGTTAAAGAACCTTAAACATCACGTTGAAATACTTAATTTGTAGCTTGGATTGCTAATATAAAGTAATGGCAATGTCAGATTTTTTTTTCAGAATTCACTTATTTGGAATCATTAGTTGCTTTCTTTATTAAAGTAGCAAATATTTCTGTAGTGTTTTTGCATGTATATATATAAATCTAAGCTCTTAGGACATCAGTTCATAAGTCAGTGTTGTGATACAAATGTTTTTCCATATACAAAGTAAATGAAACCTATAGTACTTATTTCCTTACTAAAAGCTCTTTCTTTAGCAAAAATAAAAAAACATGACGATTGTTAAATAAAACGTGTATAAAATCCAGTGCATTGTGAATAAAGTAATTTATTACTGCTTTGTGGCATTCTCAACGATAAACTTGTCTTGTTATGTAAGTTTGAACTTTAGTACTACATCACACCGGTGGTATGCATAATAAACATGTGAAATATCTGTTTAACAAACATCTTATCTAAACTATGATATAATAATCTAATGTTTGCCCTAACTTTGTGTTATGTAAGTTTGAACTTTAGTACTACATCACACTGGTGGTATGCATAATAAACATGTGAAATATCTGTTTAACAAACATCTTATCTAAACTATGATATAATAATCTAATGTTTGCCCTAACTTTGTTTTAGAAGTCTTAGAATGGGATTGGTATCCCCGAGTCTTGAGATCACTGTTTAGCCCATGTGTCAGACCAGAGACCTCAAAATTCGGGTATACCAGTCCCTAATCTAAAACTCCTGACCAAAGGGAGGGCAACCAGTCAGCATTACCCGCCATATACGAAGTTACTCTAAACCACAACATAAAGATGTTATGGAATACCCTTGTGTGTATAATGGAAATAATTTAAAGGCAAATTAAAAACAGTTGTGGCTAATCAATTCAACATTATGGTTATTTAGAGAAACGTTCTTTTTTTTTTCCTTGGACCTTCGCTGTGATTATTCTTTTTAGCACATGTTCTATGTCAAGTAGCGTCCCTTACATCAGCCTGAATACAAATATTTCATACTAAAAGATTCTTACCAAAACCTTTAACATTTATATACTAACAAAATTAACCTAGATATGTTACATTAGAAAAAAAAAAAGTAATTCAAAAGGAAATTAAGCTCGACTTTATATTAAATTACACATTACAATATTACTTTGGTAACAGTGTTGACCATAGATATGACGTGTTTTCGTGATGAACAGTTTATTCGTCTAAGGGTAATACATATGGTAGTTATCTTAAACTTACATTAAAGTTTTTCTTCATTATCCATTCAAGCCGTCTCCGACTATTATTAGATATGGTAGGTTAACAATGTTACATCCCCCTAGCGTCATATTTTGTTCTTTGACGAAAAGAAAGTGTGATTATAATTTAAATGTAAAGATTAAGAATAAGCCTTTTTTAAAATAAATTATGACTAAAACAATATCAGTACACTGTCTTTGTTCGATTTTCTCAACCTTTGGTAAATTGCATACTCGTGTAATGCTATTTTTTAAGAGAATGAGGTAACGAAGACAGTATCGGGTAAAAAGGTAGGCATATGTTCCATTACAATGTAACTAACTGGAGAAATTCTGGAAAATTTTACTGGAGGTAAATTCATGCTGGAGATCGCATTTTAACGATAAAATTTTTATTTTATCGTAACAGAAACTGATACCGAAGAAAACGTTCATACAAACAGAGATACACAGATCAGGTGTTCCACGAACGTTATCTCATCAGCGGATGCTGAGTAAAAAAAAAGAAATATATAATGGCATGACCATCCTAACGCCAAACATGATACCGAAGAAAACGTTACTACAAACAGATACGCAGATCAAGTGTTCCACGAACGTTATCTCAAAAGCGGATTCTGAGTAAAAAAGAAATATATAATGGCATGACCATCCTAACGCCAAACATTTGATATTTTAATAGTCGCACGATAAGTGTTCGCATAAAAACCAATTGATTTACGATACAATTGGGGTAGTGGTTAAAAATTTTATCTAAATGTTTTATTCTGGATCAAAATGTCCCATAACTGTAAAAAAACTTGTTTTCCTATATATTTTATAACGTCGGAAGCGGTCAACCATGATCGCAAGTGAACGTTATGAAATGACGGGATTTCGGTTATTTTGAAGTGATATAGTGTTGTAACATCTTCTATCTTTGTGCGGATTATTTTGTATTGTTTGGTAAAAGTAATGAGAAGACCCAAGCGGTCAACCATGATCGCAAGTGAACGTTATGAAATGACAGGATTTCGGTTATTTTGAAGTGATATAGTGTTGTAACATCTTCTATCTTTGTGCGGATTCTTTTGTATTGTTTGGTAAAAGTAATGAGAAGACCCGTGTATGTAACGATAACGAATTAATTTGATGCGGGCTACGTTCACTGATAAGCCTAGTCTCACGAACAATATTTCCAACAAAAATTCCTGTCCCTTTGGTGGCTCGGCGATAATTCTGAGGGCTATAATAATGCTAACAATTAGATTGGGTTTCAATATGTGCAATGTTCAGAGCACAGGTAGCCTATTCTGTAGCTTTGTGCTTAAGAACAACAGAAATACCTATACAAAAATACGCCTAACTTTCTTATAGTCTTACTTGCATAACTTCTTTGGTAATCAAACACTGACTAACTTACTAAGCCAACTATATAATTCAGGGGTTAACAGTAAATGTGTATTTTTACAGAGACTAGACATATTTCTTCTGAATTATCCATCGAGTAATTAAATATTCTCTGCAAGGTTTAAAAAATATGTTATTTTTACATTTACAATATGCTGTCCATAAATTCTACTGTTCTAGTACATACATTATTACTGTATATTTTGAGGACGATATATTACTGTACAGTTGTTTTTGAATGGAAAAATTAGCTTTATGTTAAAGGGTACATACTTTTTACTTGGTCTGGCGTAGCCCATAGGTCACCGTGCTGGACAATGAGTTTGAAAATCCAAGGTTTAAGGTGGTTGAGGCGCTCGACTCGCAATCGGAAGGGCGCGGATTCGAATCTCCGTCACTAAACATACTTGCCCGTTCGGCCGTAAAGACGTTATAATGATTCGGTTAATCCCACTATTCGTTGGTAAAAGAGTAGTCCATAAGTTGTTGGTGTTGACTAGCTGCTTTCTCCTCCAGTCTATCATTGCTAAATCAGAGGCAGATAGCCCTTCGCGAAATTCAAACCAAACTCGTTGCCATAAAAACATGCACTGTAGTTTAAAGCCACTGTAGATTTTAGCTTCCAAAAAGTGCTTGAAAAACATTCTGAGAGTGCTTAGAAAGTCCTTGAAAAGTGCTTGAAATTGATATGAGCAGTTCACTATGAACCATTAGTTATATCAGGAGAAAATTAGGGCCAACTAAAGCATAAACCCTTTGTGTAACTTTGGCGAAATTTCGAAACAAATCAATTTGTAATATTAAACACGTTATAGTATTACAAAGTTACACAGAGGCTTTCCACTGTATAACAAAATTTATACCAACATGAGCGTAAAATCGCGGTTTAGAGAAACAAACGCTCTCTCATCAACCTAGCTAGATCTAAGACAGAAAGTAACAAGTATTAGAAGTAGCTGAAAATGTGATCAGCTTCAAATACTTTCGCAATGTAAAAATATAAATAAAAACTTCACGAAGCTGATATATTCACGATTATAGAAACGTAAAAAATATCTGACATTCTTTATCATCGATATAACTGAACTCCGGAGAGTTGTTATAGCTTTAAAACATTACTCCGTTTATAATGATGCTAGTATATGTTTATTGATTGTCGTAAACTTAGTATCGCTACTACTACTATATAATATATATATATAAATTATCAATGTAGACATATTTTCGCTAATCTGTACTGACAGTATTCAAATTCAACGAAACGTTGTCGGAAATGATAACTTACCGTACAGATTATTTCCTTGAGGCAATCAAACTAGAGCAGGAAAACAAAAACACTTTCCTAAAATAAATGCCAACATTTTAATAACTTATTATTACTGAAAAAGTTCTCGTATATTTATTTTTTTCGCTTCATGGGGGGGTGTTGTGTGTCGGGTATTTATTTCGTGGCCCGGCATGGCCACGTGGTTAGGGCGCTCGACTCGCAATCTGAGGGTCGCGGGTTCGAATCCTTGTCCCATCAAACATGCTCGCCCTTTCAGCTGTGGGGGCGTTATAATGTTACGGCCAATCCCACTATTCGTTGGTAAAAGAGTAGACCAAGTGTTGGTGGTGGGTGGTGATGGCTGGCTGTCTTCCCTCTAGTCTAACACTACTAAATTAGGGACGGCTAGCGCAGATAGCTTTCGTGTAGGTTTGCGCGAAATTCAAATCAAACAACTAAACACAATTTATTTCGTTGGCTTTTCGGGGATGGCGGGAATAAGTGTGGGATTCGTCGTACAGGTCTACTGAACTTGTAATAGATTTTCTAGAACTTCACCCTTACTGGCCGGATAATTTTCATGGTGGCGAGTGGTAAACTTTGATGTAGAAGTAAGGGCTGCTAAAGTAATAAAATATTGAAAAATGAATAAAGAAGAATGTTTACGGAATTCCACTGGAGCATACCCGAAAACTTCTGATGTTTCATAGTTATCAGGAAGTTGGAAAATTTTCGTCACAGACAGACGGACGTACAGACAAAAACTGTTTTATAGTATAGATTTTCTTAGAGTTATTTAGTTTACTTTTTCTTATGAGTGTTATTTTTTAGCTATTATATTAAGAGCAGGGACATCATTTGCTATGAGACAAGGGGCCAGTTGCCTCCCAGACTTTGTAGGATATTATATAGCCATATATAAGATGTTTCAAGTTTTATTACAAACGAATTACACTAAAGAAAATGTTCTATATGCTGACATAACTTTGTCCTCCAGAATATTTTCTGAAATGACATCACTTATTAAGAGTATAGACATTTTGATTATAAAATATTTAGAACCCTCACTTAAATATGTATACATCTGTTTCTTCCATACACACAGAACGTAGATAACGAGCGTTTAACAATTTTACCCTGTGTCTTTGGATATTCGAAACGGTAGTAGTGGCCAATATATCGAAAACTGTCCGTCAGTTATGGATTAAACGGGAACTTTCAGTGGAAGCTGTTTCTAACTGTTATTATTGTACCTCATATTTTCAAAATCTAAACGTTGAAAAGTACGTTACTAAAGTGATATATAACATTTCCGAGGCCGAGTTTACGTTCTAATATTAAGGTCCGGTATAAGCGCTCTTCCGTAGGTCCCTATATCAGGGAGGGATACCTCACACCCGGAAAAAACAAACAAAACGATTCGCGAACTTGGTGCTCATAACAATCAGAAGCGGACCAATGAATACGTTATTCGCTCAATTAAATTTTACACTATGTGAAATGTTTTCTCAGCCTAATTATTTTTACAACGTTAGAAAACGGGTTTCGATACCCGTGGTGTGCAGAGCACAGATAACCCACTGTGTAGTATTTAGGAAAAAATCTTTGCGATGTCCGTAACATTTGTGTTTTCTGTTAGAAAAACTTAATTCTTTTTATTATTGTTTTTAATACAGGGATGTGTTCTGATATTTACAGGATGTATATCATATATTCTGTTTAGTTTTAAAGATGGGAGGGACACAGTTTTCAAGGTGCACAGGACCCCTGAACTCTATAATACGATCGGTAGCGTACATACCGCGATAGCATAGCAGCAAGGTTGAGGATATAAAAATGCCTGTACAGTTATGCCATTAACCCGTTCACACCCAGTAAGCATCGTTTAAGTGTTGAGTACACACCTACATGCCATATTTCAAAATTTGACTAAAGTATAAATTCTAACTATTTCAACAATTTTTAACTCACTGATATTTTGTCATTTTGTAATAATATTTTAATGCAATTCGTTTGTTTGTTGTTAAACATAAAGCTATACAGTTGGCGACGTATTCCCTGCCCAAAGCGAGTATCGAAACCCAGTTTTAGCGTTACAGACTCCCAGGCTCACCGCTGAGCCACCAGAGGTATGCAACTCACAAAGAATTTTTTCAAAATATTGAAACTCTTCTTTCTGCTCAGATCCCAGGTGTCTCGTCTGTAAACGTTACACTTATTTATATTCATTGATATGTACGTATCCGAAGTGAGACTTTACTGGCAAAAAAAAAGAAAGAAAAAAAGAAGAATTTCTAAAAGCAAAAATAAACTAAATCTTATGCATTTCTGAAAGTATACAGATCTAGCACATCAAAAATGTCAGAGTACGTGATCATCAGATATAGATGGTTTGAAAATCTATACAACTAACAATCGCAAGTTTTCTGGGAAATATAACAATTGGTGCTTTGTATTCCATAACGGTAGTTTTTGTGACAACAAACTGATAATTTCATGAATCAGAGTTTGATACCAGACCTTGTTTATATAGTTAACTTTTAGAAGTGATTCTAAAAACTAGTACGATAAAAGTTTGCGTATACTGAACATAAATAATATATTAACTCTTATTAACATCAAAGATTTTGAAGGATTATTTCTTTTCCTATAATCAAGAAGTTAAAAAGTATCATTACGGGAACAAACTGTAAGTATGCTTTACAGTTATGATATTACCATAGTTTATATTACGATTAAATGGGGGCCCGGCATGGCCAGGTGGTTAAGGCACTCGACTCGCAATCTGAGGGTCGCGGGTTCGAACCCCCGTCCCACCAAACATGCTCGCCCTTTCAGCCGTGGGGGCGTTATAATGTAACAGTCAATCCCACTATTCGTTAGTAAAAGAGCAGCCCAAGAGTTGGCGGTGGGTGGTGATGACTAGTTGCCCTCCCTCTAGTCTTACACTGCTAAATTAGGGACGGCTAGCGCAGATAGCCCTCGTGTAGCTTTGCGCGAAATTAAAAACAAACAAACAAACGATTAAATGGTCCACATGCGTGGGTACATTGAAGTTTGGAATTTTGTTACCAGGATTTACCTGGCAGTGAAAGTGTTAAGGATGTTTTTTTGTGGAAATATACGCGTCAAAATATAAAAAATCGATCATATTCATTTTGGATTGCTAATTTTCAAAATATTAACGTGTTGTGTTAATGGTATATCTGAAGTAATGTTCAGTTTAATTTGAAAATAAATTTCAAATTCTAGTTATGCATAAGTAAGATACTAAAATGTTTAAAAACGAGCATACAACATTGAGTATTTGCACAATAAATAAGTTTTATTAGAAACAAGACACAGTCATAAAAAATGCTATTTGTTTCGGTGGCGATCTACGCCAGTGTCTTCATCAGGAGTCAAATGATGATGATAATGACGTAGAATACCACCGAAATAGGTAGTCTTTTTTGGGGCTATGCCCTGTTTTTAATAAAGCTTATTTATTATGCAACTACTTAATGTGGTATGTTCGTTTTTAATATGTTTTGTTATTTTTGGTTACTTATAAATTTACGAATAAAATGTAAGAAAAATCTAAAATGTTATTTAGCCTGTAACAGATATGCGTGCTGAAGCCTGAAAATATTTAAACGATTTCAACCCAAAATTTTAAGTCATTCGATTATCGGAAAAGTATAAAGTTTCAGTTTAGAAATGGAAATTTTGGACTGTTCCATCAAAATCTAAGTCATTAATCAAAATTTGCAAAAACGTTAGAAGCAGAGCGAAGAACCGTAGATTTTACACTTTGATTTATATTTTGTCTTAAAACATAAGTCAATTTATTACTTTCGTAACCTACAAAAAACATTTTAAAAGTAAAACAATAAAGACGAAGAGAATTTTATAAAACTGTATTCACTTCAGATCAACAAATTCTGCTAAAGCTTCGCCAGCTAAAATATAACGATTACCACAGTCAAAGATATGAATACAGGAAAAATGTTCCTTACATTATTACTTCGTAACATTAAAACTTTTATTTTGTTAAAAAGACATTCAGGTAGATTAACCAGTGTTTTTACGTCAGTGATACGAAGCTGAGCAATTGTCCAATCAGGAATTGAGTGTAGCTGGCTGTATCAGAAATACTACTCGGAAGCCTTGGCTTTTCATATAAATATCACAATTGGATAAGAAGTATTAACTATTATATGGTATTCATTACTACTTTAAACTTTATTTGGTTAGAGTATAGTCATTGGAAAGCTCTACATATTTTACGAAAAAGAAAAAAAAAGGAAAGAAAATTAAGTTGCCTGTGGTATTGATTTTTTAAAATCGATGTTAGAAATGTTTTAATGATCCCCATTATGTATAGAACTTACTTAATGAAACCTTCCATATTTACTTCAGTATGTTTGATTTTCATCTTGCTTGCTACGCTCACCGTGCGTGCGGATGAATCAAAATTTCACCCTGCGACCGGTTCCCTAGATCGCCATGAGACAGTCACTGGAAATTCGGAACAACATTTGACTACGAGCCGTTCCGATGTTCCGAAAGTCGGCTCTGCTGGTGTCCCTTCGCTTCTTGGCGAGCCCAGCGAACACTTAAACAAGAATCACAAATCTCATCGTTACCATGTAGCCACAGTTGATTTTTCCAAAGTCTCAACTCCTTACATCATCAGCCTGTGGATCTTCGTCGCTGGGTTAGCAAAAATTGGTGAGTTTTAGTGATTTAGAAAAGATATATACATTTCAATCATGTACTTCGAGCAAATTAAGATATCCAGAAATCCCCGACGTGTTAAAGTTTCTGTTTCGTTGCTCTACACTATATTTCTAATCCTAAACACTGAACTCGCAATTAAGTTAGTTCAGTAAAAGCAAGAACAGTATTGTTGTTTTCTTTGTTTGCTTCATCACTTTTCTTAATGTTTCAGAGCTCTCATTTTGTTCACATATTAAAAACAGAAAAAGTTTTGTTTCGCAACAATATAGCGCTATTGTTCAGTTTTAGTTTCGTGTTTATGCGAAATATGAAAAAAACAAAACAGTTACTGCATTAGCAGTCCATAATTTTGAAGTGGTAGAGTAGAGGGAAGGCAGCTAGTGAACACCGCCAACTCTTGGGCTACTCTTTTACTAACGAGTGGGATTGACTGTCACATTACAACGTCCTCGCGGCTGAAAGGGCGAGAAAGTTTGGTGGAATGAGGATTCGAACCCGGGACCCGCAGAGAGAGACGGCTAGCGCAGATAGCCCTCGTGTAGCTTTGCGCGAAATTCAAAAACAAACAAACAAAAAAAAGTCCTGTTAATTTTGATTTTCTAAATTCAACAAAACTCACACCCATGACAAAATAAATAGAAAAGGAGATAATGAATTTCAAAGAAACCACTGGTGTTACAAGGGACACAACAACAACTAACCACTGGTGTTACAAGGGACACCAAAACAACAACAACAACTCTAAAGTGTGAGTATATTTAGAATTTAAGTTTGGCTGAGCCTACTAAGAAACCTGCTGCAATTATGACACCCGAGAAACGGTATCGGTTATGTAGGAATGCAAATAATTAAGTATATAGATAAAATTATAGAAATTATACTTTAATACTGTCAGTTTTTTTTTGTCAAATAAAATAGTACTTTAGTATTAGAGCTTTTTGAGCTCCAGAGCAAGTACTAGTCACAAATTAGTTTGTTTCTTCTTTTAACGTTTCTACAAGCTTGAACATTTGTACACTGTCGTAACTTGTTGTAGGCCTATGTACCAAATGACGTTCAAATCTATCTGACAATACTAGAACTAACATAAAATTAATTTACTTGTGCAAAGTAATTCAATAAGCTCGATAGCTAACACAGATTCAAATACTTCACTATACTAGAAAACTTTACGCCACAATAAATTTTCCAGGCCTTCTAGGCCTATTTTAATGTCGTATGCCGTCTAGCTAACATCCAGATTACAAATAAAATATAGCTTATAACAATATACTGGAATTAGACTGGGAGTCTATGACAAACGGATTTTAGCATATGAAAAGTTTGTTATTATCATGTATACCAGCGATAGAAAAGAATATTCACGATCTACGGTATTGATACAAGAATGAGCGCCTATCATGTTCGATAACTGCGATAGGCACTGCACAGACAATGTAGATTTGTGCTTATCAATAAAAAAGCACTACATAAACTTTTGTTTTATTATTTTTTTTATCTGCTGAGGTGTGTTTATTCGAGAAATCGCCAGCAGTCTGAAAAAGGATAAGAAATAATTTTATGAATAAAGTTTGTATATAGAAAACAAACAAAAAATCTTATTTCTGACAACAGCAATGTTGGGAAAATATCATCAACATAAATCACCAGAAAAATTAACAAAGGCGTCAGATATCAGGCTAATGTGGTTATAATGGATGGAAATCAGCTGTGTGCGGTATTGGAAGTTGGACGCTGAATATGCAAAATTATTAATGACACCCAAGTTCAGAAACATCATATATATATATATATATATATCATATACTAACCCTAACAGTATATTTGCTATGAACCGTCGTTTTTAGCTGCCTCTGTCCATATGCGATCTGGCCACTTATTCACGCGCTCATATAGCGATTCGCTCAGTATAGTAAACCGGTACATATAAATACGATCTGATAACGTACGAGTTTCGTGTTTATATAAGTCTTATTTCTGTTTTATTCTCGGATACCTGCTTGATCAATGAAGGCGTCATTTCCTCTTAAAGTTTAGTTGCTTTTTTATCATTGTATTCGTGGCTCGTACTCATTTACAAGTTATGATTTTATTTCTTTCCACAGAAAAACAAAATACTCTTTCTTAGAAAATTGCAGTACTGTGGGTTCTGAATTTATTGTTAGCCTTTTTCTCTTTTCTTTACAGAAACAAGCTATAAGGATAAACTCACGGTTAAAACTTCAGAACTAATTATTTAATTATAACAGCAAAATATATAAAAATATCAGAGGTAGAAACATTTTCTATCCTTAGAATACCCGACAACTCATATCAGAATAAAATTATAATCCTGTGTCTTTACCTCATTTTGGACCAGGCATGATTTAATGGTTAAATTGCCAAACTGTGAATCTGAGTTTTGCCACAAAAAAGTTGCACCACACTTTGGGGCAGTGATTACACTACAATAGTGATTGTGCAATCCCACTATTCGATCAGGCAAAAGTAGTCCAAGAGTAGAGATAGATGCTATTGAATAGCTGCCTTTTCTTTAGTCTATCAATTCAAAATTAGGGACAGTTAGAGCAGATAACCATTATGTAGCTTTGCACGAAGTTCTGAAAGAAACAAATAAAGCCTTTAGATGCATTATCTTTATCGTTTCCCAAAATGTAATTCCCTTTGGCGATAAGTCAAGTTATTATCTACAAACTGAAAGAGACTGGAGGTTCTGTTGGTAGATGACATTGCTAGCCTGAGCTGTTTTGCCAGAAGGTGAGTGCAGGCGTGCCTACTCCGTTGTATCACCGACGTATAGAGCATCTCAGCCTAGTTTTGGCTGAGAGTCCATGGGTGAGAGACTTATGCCTCTGTGAGTGAGGCTAAATATATCTCTCCCTCAATTTTTAATGGTGTAATTAAAAAAGGTCTGGATCATTTTTTGAATATTTCAAACAGTCAAGCCACTACTCTGGCCACTTAACACACTGACTGTGTTCTGGTAAATGCTGATAGACAAGATGCGAATTGAGAGATACGTCTCCAACTACACCTGGGTAATGTCAGTTACAGAATGGAGAGTGGCATTAGTTCTGGCATTGGCATCTTAAAGATGGATGCACTATAGAAATATTTGGTCAGTTTTGCCTGTGTAAAAGGTGAACTGCATTTTTGTGGGAAAGTTATTTGATGCCAGCCAGACCAGGCTCAGGAGCAATTTGTTCCATGAGTATATGTTGTGAAGGGAATTATAGTACCTCCATGTACACAAGTGGTGTTCTGTGGTTTACTTCAGATGAGATCTGTTGTCATGTGAGGTGATGATAGAGACATTGCGTGAAATGCGCTGTTTCTTATCCAGAAAGCAGGCAGCTTTATTCAACAAGCTAAGAATCTTCCATGCACTGGCTGGACAAGAAATCAGAGGTTGAGTACTATTTGTATCATTTTGACTCAGCTGATGAGGGGAAGTTGTTGAGAGTACTTATCTAGCTGCACAAGATGAATCGGATGAGAAAGTGTCTAGAGATGAGGCACAAGATAGCTCTTGTGGTTAGCTGAAACGCTTTCACTGACATCCTCATCGTTATAGCTGAGATTAACTGCCAAATTGGCAGGTAGGAGAGTCATGAATTTAAGATCAATGACTGAAAGGAAGTAGTGTTCCTTTCATTCCATACTAGCTAGAGGTGTTTCACAATGAAATGTATGCACTGCATTGATTATTATAAAGTTAATATAGTTGTTGATCAAAGCACTAAATGGACCAAAAAAACATACGTTCCAAGCTACCAAGCAGATTTTCACTCAAGAATATTTGTAGCTTATTGAAATATAGCTGCTTGAGTATTACACAGTTAAGACAGCTTGTATGACTGAAGATGATCACTTGGAGTTCAAAAACTCACTTAAAGAACACTATAACTGTTACTTTCTCAGATATCAAGTGATATTCTATGGAATTCCATTCGATATTTTTCAGAAATATTTTTACCCTTTCTAGACAGCTACTAGTGGGATTTCTGCAAAGCATACCATACAATACCTGCTAGACATTTCTAACACATTTGAGTGTGTATATAAATCCTCCATGTGCAATGAGGTAGTTGGGTTCTTTCTCAATACAGAATGTGAATCAGATTGTTTTGAACCTCAGTGGAATTGTTCTTGTTTCACTGCATTTGTCTGTGTCTGTTTTTCTGTTCTGACAACTAAAGCGACAACTTGCTTTGTTCAATTTAGTAGCTCATGAATAGTAGTACGTTACAATACCATAACTATTGAGACATAGCTAGTGGAGGTAGCTTATGTTGACTCGTTGGTAATGGTAAGTGAGCCGGGGGCAGTATGTTTAAAGCTACTTCTATATGTGATGATATGTGATATTAAGATATATGTATATGGAACTATGTGTAAGAATAAATTATACCTACGTGCTGTTGCAACGTGTGCGGATATTATATAAAGTTATTCGTGAACATTGTATAACACAAATGTATCAAGTATGCTGAGAAAACAATTGTCAAGTAAAATATTAATGAGTACTCACCTTAGACAAATATTTCCTGAAGTTTCCATTGGCTCCTTCCAGAAGAGTAGAAGTTTTAAAGATATCCTTGTTCACGCAAAAGTGAATTACACCCCACCAAAGAAAGAGGTCGTTGTCTGACCTGCAAGTTCGTAAAAACTACCGATTTTTTTTCCAACAAACATGTCTAAAAACACTTTAAAATTTTTAAAGGAATTACTTGCACAAAACATAACACCATTTATCTCATGCAGTGTAAAAAATGCAATGACCAGTTTGTAGGATAGACCCAAACGACTCTTAGAGTAACCATAAATCTTTTATTAACCCTGAAAAAGCCGTACCTGTTGCCCGTCACTTTAACATACCTTTTTAATGATATGACTCTCCTCAGTACTGAAACCGATTTCAAAAAATAAAGCTGACACAGAGATAAAAGAAGCTTATTGGATTGCTAATCTAAATACTGTCTAACGTTATA